TTCTTCTTCTTCTTCTTCTTCTTCTTCTTTTTCTTCTTATTATTATTATTATTATTATTGAAATGTTAATAAAATGTAAAAGAAAAATGTAACTTCTGTGCAAGCTGGAAACTTTTTGGACCCCATCCAAAGATTTATGCAAACCACAAGGACCAAATTTACAGTTTTGTCGTTTTTATTATTTGTGGGTTTTGTAAAAAGTTTAGATAGTGTTGAATTGATGGGCTTTTTTGAATCCTAGGAGTTTAAATGGTGATCATCATTTTGTAAAGTTTTGATTTTTAGATTTAGATTACTGATTTTTTATAAATTTTATTGGGTTAAAATACTCTTATTTACTCTCAAAATCTAAAGTGTATCTTATATTTCTTATTTTTTTTGGGCCCCTAAAAAAGTTAGGCCCTATCTAGATGTCCATTTTGTCTCCCTTTAAAACCGAACCTGGCGGTAAATCATAGTTAACCGATATTAAATCATAGTTAACCGATATTAAATCGTTGGTTGTTGCTTAAAATGAAAGAAAAGATGAAAGCATCAAATGGGAGACACTAAAATAAATAAATAAATAAAAATAAAAATTAATATCCCGATTGCAAAAAATTTCAATTATTTACATATAAAAAAATCTCTTAAGTTCTTGAAAAGAAAAATATTAATTGAGCCAAACATTTATCTCACTAGCCTATCAAAAAATTTGTGAGTGCTCTCAAAGTGGATTATATAGATTTTAGGTTTTAAGGGATCTTTTATGTTTTTGTAATTCTAATTTAAAAAATATATTATATCATGATTATTGCATGTATCCAATAAGTCACACTATACTTTTAAAAATCTCATTTTATATAAAATTATATTTTAACAATGTTAAACCTGGTTTATATATTACTGACACGATCAAATTTTTAATTTAATAAATAATATTAAATTTTACCGTTTGAGCTCTTTAGAACATTTATAAACATTTTAATAAAACTTCCTTTTATAAAATAAGGTTTTGAGTTCAATAAGTTTCTAAAATTTAAAATTTAAACTTATACAATTTCAACCTTGAAATTTACCTTTAGCTCGTTTTAAACGATAAAATTTTATTTTTAAAACTATTTTACCATCTTATAATAAAAGGTAAATTTCATTAAAACCAAACACTTTGTGATGTTTAATTATGTTAAAAATATTGTTTGCATGTAAAAACTAATTTTAACAATCAAAACAAAATATTAACATAACTATTAAACAACACAAACATTTTACAAACATATGTGCATAAACCTACCATCTAGTGATATTTTTATGACTCGTCAAAAAAAATGTCAGTTTTGTAAGGGTCGAAATGTTGTAATTAGTCGAAGTATGTTTTGCACCCTTTTAACATTTTGTAATCTATTTTACTAGGGCATTGTATTTGAAGCTTAACGCATAGTCCTTAGTATATTTTTTGTACGCTTTCCTCTCCTATAAATAGGAGTGTTTACTAGAGTCATAAGGACGAGTCTTTACAGAATTGACATTTTGTACTCTGTAAAACTTGAGAGCGTAATAGAGCTGAAACAAGATCATACGCCCCTAATGAACATGACCGTATGAAACTTGGGGTCAATTTTACCCTTAATCATCACATTGATATCGCTTTCCTTCCCAATTGGCTTGATAGTGGGCTTCTTATGTATGGCAGAGGCGATTTCCTGATCCATCTTTGCGACTTCATGAATATAACACACCAGCATTTGCTTGATGTGATCTATAATAGCCTCATACCCCTTTTGATTAGTCAGCAAAATGTTGTTCAGGAGAATCCAATCACGAGGATTCAAATTTGGCAGATCAGCCAGGGAAATCATATGAACCGAACTGTCAGAGCCTCGGGTTACTTTGAACTTGATGTTGATAAACTTCCCTGCTGAAGTGGGTTTCAACACCTTGACTGTTGTCATTTTATGATTACTCCAAGTCAGGTATTGCGGCTGAGCAAACTCAAGATAGTATTCAAGCAGATCCCGATCAACCTTTGGGTCCGGGGAAGGAATGCCAGCCGTTGACTCAAAACAGTGAAAAATGAATGCCTTTCGGGAGATTGGCATATCAAATTGTGAGTCCTTAGAAGCCCAAAAGAAAGTATCGGTTCGAGCCAATGAGTGCTTGGAGCTTCGATAACCTCCCTCTGAAGCGTTTCCGTAGACCACAGAGGAAACATAGACTTCCTCTGTTCTTGCATTTTGTTTGCTTTCCTCTCCTTATCCAGAATTTCCTTCGCTTTTCGAACCTTTGCCTCAATATCTCTCGATCAGTAGGCTTGACTTTAAGGCTTTCGGTTTTAGAAGCGTTTTCTTCTGTATCTGTTTCGTCATCGATTTCAACCTCATCATCATCACCAATCTTCTTCTTTCGTTTACCCTTCATACTGCCCGAAGCTTCATTACCCTTCGGCTCAGTAGTGACTTTCGGTTGGGTGATAGGTTTGCTTGTTGGAGGTGGTTGAGCTTGACCATGGCCCTGAGTAACATTTTCTCCCCCTTGTTTCGGAGGAACAACGGGCTCCGGAACACCCTCAATCCTGCTCAAAACATCCAGACCAGGTCTCAACTTCTCAGCCAAGTGGCGTCGAATTGAGATGGTAAGGATCGAGTCATGGGCTTCCAGAAGGTGTAGAAGAATGGAACGCACATCACCAACAAAGCTTTTAATTACTGCACGCTCAGATTTTAATTCTTCAATCTCCTTGGTTGCAGCCTTGAGTTTTAGATTCTGAATTTTAAGCTGAGAAGTTCGTTTATCCAGCTCATCCATAATTTTGTTTTTGCGACAGCAAGTTCATCTTCAAGTTGAGTGAGACGTGCATCAACTGAAGTGTGAAGCTCAGTGTTAGCGGTCTGAATTGCTTGGCGAGCTTCGTCAAAATGCTTCTTTTCAGCCTCCAGTGAACGCGTAAGATTATCAACCGAAGCGTTCACTGTTTGAGCATTCTTCTGAGCGGCAGCTTGGAGAGAATCAAGAAATATTTGTGCATCAGAAACTAGTTTTTTGACATTTGCGGTCGCTTGCTTGCAATCGTTGGTTAAGGCTTCAACTGCAATGTAAGCTTTCTGATAGGTGGAAGTGGAGGCTTCAATGGCTTTAACAGCATTAGAGATGGAAGCATCATGCTCTTTGACAAAGGTTGCCAACAGAGCCTTGATTGCTACTTCGGAGTATGCACTGCCAGAAGAGGAGGAAAGCAGTTGGTCAAGCTTGTCATTCATAGCCTCGAGATGCTTCTTCATGACAGGAGCATCATCATCGTCATCACTATGTACTCGATAAAGACTAAAGTAAACAGAGTCGAATTCCATGTCTTCTCCGCCAAGAACAGGATCAGATTCGTGTGAAGGAGGTGGGGATAAAGGTGCTGAGGTAATTGGGGGATCAGAACCGAAAGTAGATGCCTCCGTATCAGATACGTTGACACGAACAGTAGGTTCGGTTGGAGAAGTGGTAGTGATAGTAACTGTAGTGAACAAAAGGGTTGGAATTGGAATCGAGGAAGTAGTGGTAGATGAGATGGGTGGAGGAAAGGGAGCAACAGTAATAGGAACCGATTGTGTAGGAGAATGAGGAGGTGAGTTTCGGTTACCTATATTAGTTGGTGAGGGTGGAGGCGAATTACCTTGAGGCGGAGTTTCGGTTTGAGAAACGTCGTCGTCAGTCGACTCGAAGGTCTGGCTGTGGGTCAGATGGAACATATTCAGAGTCACTGGAAGA